ATTCCCATATATATATATATATATATATATATATGGGAATCGTGATCAATCCGGCAGTAGGAGAAAGCAAAAAAACAAAATATTGGCAAGAGCCATTTGGCCACCTCTGGATCACCAAACTAGTTCTGAATGCAACAAAATTTGCAGCTTTATAGGCACCGGGCAAACTTTTAACCTACCGGCCACCCTTCGCTGACCACCATTTTTTAACCAGTCGATCTCCCTCAACCTTACTCAAATCGATTAACCATCAATGGTCAACCACCTTGCTCCTCTGACAGGCAACTCAATCGGTGTCTCATAAGCTCATGAAGCGAAGCCGGTTCTACGACATGCTTCTCCATCAAACTCAATTAGAGCGACAGATTTCAGGTTTCCACATCCACATGGAGTTTCTAGAAAATAACATTAAAGCGCTATGAATCTTCTCTCATGAGACCACAAATGAAGCACTGTGAATCTCCTCTCATGAGACCACGAAGTATCCATCGCCTCCTGCCACCATATGGTGGTGATCGCATGTTAGCTACAACCAATCCGTCGATCACCAACCAATTTTCTCACTCCTCCCGGCCATGTCCCTTCTCCAGCCCATTTCGTTTCTACAATTGGTCACCCGATCGACTTACCATTCTAGTCTAGCGATCGACCGATCACCGAACATCCAAGCGAAGCCTTTGGACGATCGGCTTGAATCTCCACAAATGCAAGTTAAATAAAAGCTTTAATAATAGTATTATTATATTGATATTGTCATTTAAAAATACAAAGCAAAGTTGCAAAGGGGCGTAGGAGCCTAATCAAGAAATTTAGAAGACACAGTGTAGCAAATGTCGGAAGGTCAACCGAAGGGCTGTCAAGCAACAGGCTTGGACACTCAAAAAGACCAAAGTAACCAAGACTACTCGATTTAAGCGAGAGTAAATATATAATTTTATATTCTTTTACTTTCATCTTCTATAATATAGGAGGTCATAACATGTGTAAGGAACTTTTTTTTGGATCCCTATTTGCAACCTCTACTTTTTATGAAATAAATGTTAGATGGAGCTTGATCCGGTCCGCCTGATCCCGTCATCCTGCTCTGTTGTGACCTGACTCCTGCTCCCGCTCAAGATCACGGAAAATCATGACTCTTGTTGTTCGCGAACAGCGCTAACCGCTCATTACTTCCTCCGTCGTGAAGCGAAATCCCTTCACTCCCAGTTGTTTCACGATAAAAGAAGCATTTCTCCTTCAGTTTACGATACGACCATTTTATGTTCTTCTTCGACAGTTCTGCTTCTACGGGATAGAGGAAGCGAAGTGCAAGGATTAGTTCCTTGCAGTAGAAGGAAAAAAAAAAGAAGAAGATTGTTCTCCCTTGATTTCTTCTTGGTGGCTTGTGAAAGAAGAGAAATTAGGTTTATTTCTATTCTAAGTTTATCTTCTTAGGTGTATCTTGGGGTAGAGAGCGAAGAAGAGCGAGTAAGGAAGTGAGAGATCCCTCTTGTAAGTCGAGACGATTGACTGGTGTAAATTCCTCAAGTAGTAAAATCCTCTGCAATTCTGTCGACGCAGGCAATTTGCCGAACCATGTAAATCTATGTGTTCTACTGTGTTACTGTTTTCTGATGTGAATTTTCTTGTTCTATTTTTCATTTTGTCGTCGATCGTTTTATTTTATTTATACTACCACAACAACTGATATAAGAGCTCGTGGTTTCAGATTTGAGGAAAAATGATGGCTGCCGATGAAGTGAAGGTTTCAGGGATCGAGAAGTTTGATGACACAGATTTTGGTTACTGGATGATGCAGATAGAGGACTACCTCTATGTGAAGAAACTTCATCTTCTATTATTGGGTTGGGGAAAAGACTGGGGAAAAGACCTGAAAGAATGGATGAGGCTGAATGAAATTTGGTGGATCGACAAGTTCTCAGGGTTATTTGATTAACCCTATCAAAGTATGTTGCGTACAACGTCGTCAAAGAAAAGACGACTGTATATCTCATGACAGCCTTATCAGGTATGTATGAAAAGCCATCGGCTAATATCAATGTGTACTTGATGAATAAGTTATTTATTTTTAAGATGATGAAATGTGTTTTCGTTGCTCAACGCCTGAATGATTTCAATACTATTACAAATCAATTGTCATCTATTGAAATTAATTTTGATGATGAGATATGTGCGCTGATATTATTGGCATCATTGTCAAATAGTTGGGAAGTCATGAGGATGGCAGTTAGCAGTTCTGCAGGTAAATCTAAACTGAAATATGATGATATTCGTGATTTGATTTAGGCTGAGGAGATGCGCGGGAAATATTATGGCGAGATCTCAGGTACGAGTTTGGCACTGAATGTTGATTTCAGAAGATCACATGACAGAAACTCAAATAGAGGGAGATTAAAATCAATGTTTGGTCAGTAGACAACCTGTTGAAATTGTGGCAAGGGTTGTCACATAAAGAGGAATTGGAGAAATTCCAAGAAGATGGAGAAGGATAGCGCAAATGTGGTATCTGAAGAAGTATATGATGCATTACTGCTGACAATTCATAGTTTTGTTGATAACTGGATATTGGATTCATTGGCTTCTTTTCATACAACATTCCATCGAGAATTGATGCGAAATTATGTTGTAGGTGACTTTATGAAAGTATATATGATATATGAAGAATCATTGAATGTGGTAGAGAGTGAGTCCGGAGCACCCATGTCTATTGTTTCACAGGCAGATGATAAAGAACCATAAAGCTATAAAGAAATCTTGCAAGATGAAAATTCAAGCAAATGGGAGCTGACAGAAGTTCCACCAGAGAAGAAGGTATTACACAACAAGTGGGTGTATCGGGTGAAGACTGAGCTTGATGACAATAAGAGATACAATGCTAGACTAGTTGAAAAAGGCTTTCAACAAAGGCAGGATATCGCTCATGCAGGAGTTGTAAGCAGATACAAGAGTAACCCAGGAAATAGCTTGGAGGTGCAAGACTATGTTAACACTGCTAATATGTTGACTAAAGGTGTTACTGTTGAGAAACTGAAATTGTACGCAGCTTCATTTGGTCTTCTGGTGTGGAAAAAAGAGCTTTGAGTTGCAGAAGTCGAGGATTCATGTTTGAAGAAAAGGGTGACGTCGTCAGCGGAGGATATCAGTTTGACGAAGAAGATGTTGCAGTCTGTGTATCGGTCTCCAAGTGGGAGATTGGTTGGATGAAGCCCAATCCAGTCCGCTCGATCTCGTCACTCCGCTCTGTCTCAATTCGACTCTCGCTCCCGCTCAAGATCGCAGAAAATCGCAACTCCTGCTATTCGCGAACAGCGTCAACCGCTCTCCCGCCTTCCTCTGTCGTGAAGCGAAGCATCCCTTCGCTCCCGGTTGTTTCACGATAAAAGGAGCAGCTCTCCTTTAGTTGATGATACAACATTTTTGTGTTCTTCTTCAGCAATCCTGCTTCCACAGGATAGAGGAAGAGAGGTGCAAGGAGTAGTTCCTTGCAACAGAAGGAAGAAGATGAATTTTCTCCCTTAGCTTCTTCTTGGTAGCTTGTGGCAGAAGAGAAATTGAGTTTATTTCTCTTGTAAGTTTATTTTCTTCTGTGTAGAGAGAGAAGAAGAGGGGGCAAGGAAATGAGAGATCTCCCTTGTAAGTCAAGACGACCGACTGGTTTAAATTCCTCAAGTAATAAAATCCTTTGCAACTCCATGGGCGTAGGCAATTTCTCGAACCACGTAAATCTGGGTTCCGTTGTGTTACTGTTTTCTGGTATGAATTTTCTCATTCTATTTTTTGTTTCGTCAAAGATCTTTCTTTTATTATATATATATATATATTATATATATATACACACACACACACACACACACACAACAATAAAAAGGGTTTATGAGCCCAGGAACACTCCGATTCACCCCGGGGGGCAAATCTTCCTCCTCTCTCTCTTTACCTCGTTCAATTTCATTTCCTTGGTCCCCAACGCTTTATTCGTTGGGCACACTATACCAGGCAGATTTGGATCCAACATACTTTTAGGTGTGGATAGCGTGGATTTCGCTATCAACAAGAAGGGGAGCAACGCTGAGGAGGAATTCTCCACAGAGACACTCTGTATAAGGGAACTTGCACAATGACAAATCAGGAGCTGAAATCGTCGTTCCCATCTGGCTACCAAAAGTTTTGGTTGGGGGCCAAGTACCGCAAAGTGAATGTATAACTCCTAACTCAACAATGAAAAAGTTCAACGAATACTCGATGACACTTGATAGTCCAAAGAGAGAACACTTAGATCATGTTTTAGGAGGTCGAGAATAAACAACAACAAATATCTTGAATTGAGGGCACAAGGACAACTTCGTCAAACACATAAGAAGTGTGAGATCTCTTATGACTTCCTCGGCGAGCCAAGTAAAGTATTATGTCTCACGATGGAGGCCTTTTCTTTCCAATCCCCACCCTAACAGCGTTAAGAGTTAGAGCATATCAGGATAACAGTGGAGGGCTAGTGGTTTCGAAACGTGCGCAGGAAACTTAGAAGAGGATTGCAAAAACCTACATCTTTTTTGTGTCACGCAGAAATATTTGTTGCTTGTCTATACCAGCCGACCAATTAACACATGTGCACTCTTCCATTACCATGCGAATTCTACCTCTCCGCCTGTCAAGCCCACCGACCCGCCCTCTCCCGAGAAATCTTCACCAATCAATTGTTTTTTCAGCTACCGACCTACCATCCAGTCGACAGATCATTTGCTAAAAACAATTTTAATTGCTTTTAAAATATAGTAAGTATAGATCTATACAAATAATCTTGACTAATTAACTATTTAACTGCACCAAGTAACCTTAAACCCCAATACAAACATGTTTGATAATATAAATATCACATCACACCAAAATGCTTATTTTTTGTATAGATACTTATAACCTTATATGCATGTATTATATATATATATATATATATATATATATATATATATATATATATGTATATAATACATGATTTGACCTGCTTTCTTTCTCCCCGTGCGCAGGCATATATCTCTACAATGTGTATATGCCTCCGGCCGGCCAGCATTATTCCAGCCGGTCACCGACCTCCGGCCAGACGCCTGCCTTATGCGGCATCTTAAATGCTAAATGTGGTCCATGCTCTCCTGCTAGTAGAAGCTTACAGCACTACACTCCTAATGAGCTCTCCGGAGAGATCGTCGACTTCGTCAAACAAGCGCCGGGCAAATTGGCGGTGCTTCCAGCGGTAGCGACACCGGATTAATGATGATTCTGTTTACCATTTTCCTAACAATCTCATCTCCATCCATAACCGAGAGGAGGCAGCCCTAACTGTTTTGAGATCGGACCTGATAGGGGTGCTCCAGAAGGAGGTGAAATCTCTGGACAAAGACAGTTCTCATTCTAAAGACCAGATCCGCATCCGCTTGTGCAAATTGGGAAACATGCTGAGGTGAATCAGTTCAAGCAGCAAATAAGACGGCTTAATCGTGAAATCCTGAAAGTTGAGAGGCTACATTTCGACCGATTACCTACCTGTCGGCCGACTTCTCTGCTCCAACCCCAAACCAGGGAGGAAGATATCTTCATACATCATACTTTTTGCGTGTAGCGACTTAATGGACTTACAAATCTGCGATTTTATTTCGTCCAAACTAAACATCCGGAAAGGCCAATCGCTTATATATATATATCACTCAATTCTTATAAATTTTACCTGCATTGCTCTTAATCCATTTGTGTTTCCAGCAAATCACCGTCCACCAATGACCGCCTTGGCGAGACACGGCTCCAAGAGTTAGCTGACTGGCTGGCCATGTTAGCCAATAGAAGTTGGAACTAATAGGGTCGATCAAAGATCACCTCAAACAGTCAAAGTTCAGCAAACATAAAACTTTCTTCCAGAACGAGCAAACTAAATATTTTACTCTGAGACAAGCACACAAAAGTCTCTCCTCTAGGTGTTGGCATCAATTTTTTATGTCGCATGTGTAGAATGTCAACCTAAATGCCTCGGGACAATTTATTGTTCATAGCGTCCCACAGCTCAAGTCATGCATCTAGACCTCCTAATATGTGCTTGGGAGAGAAAATCAAGATCTTCAATAATTCAGTCTGCTTGAAAAACTCGTTGTCGTGTGGCATCAGTCTTGGCATGCGACACATCAGTTTTCAATTTTAATTTTTAAAGACCATGCAGCATCCGTTTGGAAGCCTACCGACATCATTAGAGTATCCCGCGGTCGAAGGGAGATATGGGATCTAATTACGTATGTTTTGGAGAGAATCAAGATTTTGGACTAGTTAACCGCCGCAGTGGTTTAGGGCGCCCGCCAAAGAATTTATCTGGATGATCTCGGACGACGGAATGTACCGTACGAGCTCATCTGAAACGTCAACTTCACCTAGAAAACAATACTTTGGGGTTTCGTGCGTGGGTCTCATTCAATACAGTGCACATAAATTGTGGCCGAACGGGCCTCAGACGACAAAACAGAATGCACAAGCGCATCCGAAACGCCGATTTAACCTATGAAAGACGTTCATATTGTTGGGTTTTGTGCACGAGTCTCATTCAACGCGGCGCACACAAACTTAAGTTCATGTGCTAAGCTGGCACATAGCATATTATGAGTGATCTCATTGACAAAGAAAACAGAAACTAAACCTCTATCTAATAACACATAATTAATTGTTAGTATTGAATCAACTTGGTTGAAACCAAATTGAACAAGTCATTATGAAGTACAGAAGCTATGTAGGTTGAAGAAATACAACTTCAAAGTAGGAAAGTTCTCCAACCAAAGACGGCAAAAATAATGCCACAATAAGAGAATAAAGATATAGCGTCCACAAATTAAGAGACAAAATAAGACAATCAATTATAAACAAGACTCAACTTGATTAGAACTTTTTATCTCCGTTTTTTTATGAACTATTCATAATTCAGTCCAAGTTGATTCAAAGCTATATTTCAATTTCAAAATTGATTTCAAATTTATCTTAGTTAGGGGTATCCATTCCAATTTGAACCGAAATCCATAAATTGAACTACTAAACTGAATACAATTTCAATAAAATCAAACCAATCAAACTGAAGTTTAACTCGGTTTGAACAGTTCGGGTTTAAATAAATCAACACACACACACACACACACACACACACACACATATATATTATACATTTGCTATTAAAAAAAAATATTGTTCCAAAAACGTTTCATTCGTTTACAAAATTGAACTAACTAATCATTGCCCAAGACTGTCTAAAAATATCATTAAGTTAAGTAAATTTTGATATTCGGTTGGTTCGATTGAAAATTTTTTAAATCTGAACTGGGAACCGAAAACCAAATAATGGTCTTTCAAAACAGAAATCTGAACATTCAATTCAAAATCAAGCCAAATTATTAGATCTATTTGGGTCAATTTTCTGAATAAAGACAAAAAATGCACAACCCTACCTAAAGTTGCTTCAATATAAATCTATTTAATTCAAATTATGATTTAAAGCTAGTACTTACATAATATTTATACAACTATAATAAACATAAATAATATGAATACTTATTTATAAAGTAAGTAAAAAAAATCAATTTAAAAAACATAAATTTTATTTTGGGCCGAGGTAGATTCAAAATTTTTAATCATAGTCATGCCAATTCCACCTCAACTCAACTAAATACTACCCTACATACAAGAACAGCTTGTCAACCACAACTAGGTGTAGCTCAAGCTCCATTCAAGTTAAACTAGTCATAAAAAGAGCATCTTCCTTTTCTTTTTTACATTAACATTAAATACTAAATCATAAATCTAATATAAACCAAAATTAATCCATGAACTTCTAGCAAAAACTTCTAAAATATTTACTATATTAAACCCTCATCATTTTACTTATACATGCACTAATTCTTACGTATTTACATCTCTATTATCCAAATATCAACTTTTACATTTGCATCCATCATATTCTAAACATTAAAATAGTGACATTTTTGACGTGATCAGAAATATTAAAGTGGTATAAAAATAAATATTAAACTATAGGAATAAGATACATAAA